ATAGGTTTGTTATAAGCTGTACGTGAGAAAAGTCAAAGGCTGTGATATTATTAGTTGTTTACTTAAAACCGCCTGCACTATACTTGAAGTAAGACATTTTTTTTTTTTATTACAAATTACACGATTTCAATTTAATAATTAGTAAATACATACGATGGCGGTGTTAAAATTCAAGTTTCCTGTAAAAACAAAATCGTGCTTGTTTAATCTTGAATGGCCGCTTATAAGGCCCAGAAATAACTTGTACATTCCTACGTTGCAAGACTTGCACTCGACCATAAGAGATGATCACATAAATTATATTCATATTTTGCGCACTAGTGTTTTTAATTAAAGTAATTTCTTCAAAATTTCTAATCCAAAACCAATTGTATTTATATTACCTACATTACATAATGTAAATATATATTTTCTGGGTTATCCAAATTTTCACGTATTACAAAATAGAGTTTTATTGCTCCATGCGTGTTTAAAATATAATAATAATTATAATACTATGATAACATTATAGATTTTTCGGTGCCTCGGTTATAATATATAATAATTAATAACACTGATTCCATTTCGCAACTGCCAACTATTTATATACCATATACGTACTTCTTTTCTATTTCATATGTCGGTTGCTATTCGTGTTTTTGTCATGTAACATTATATACATTGGATTATATTAGTGATAAACTGAAGGATGTATTAGTTAAGTCTCATTAAGTCTTATATATTATAGCTTTATTAAAGTACATGGGATGACATAAAAACTTATAGATAGGGATAATTTAAAAACAAATGAAAAATTCTTTTTACAAACGTTTCTTGTCGTCCCAATTTATATAATATGTATGCACATACACATATGGTAATATGTATATACATACAAAATGTAATAATACAATTATTATAATTACTAGGAACATTCTTAATAAAATGTGTATTGGTGTAAATAATAATTCTCACTTTTAGATTTTTACTAGATAAAAATATTTTATGAACATTGATTGCGTTATCGTTAACTATCATTTTAATATAACATTCAAATTGTCTATAATAATTATATTCTACAATGGTTATTTTTAAGCTATACAACGGATTATATTTAAAATATACTCATTTTATCATAATATGTAATGTAATTTTAAGATACTTCAAATAAATTATTGAATGCTGTTCATAAATTAAAATATAATATCTTTCAAATATATACAGTATTGTTAATTCTTATCTTTTACGATGAAATATACAAATTATGTTAATTATGTTTTCCGTCAAAAGATGTAAAATCGTACATTTTACCCAACCATCAAAACTGCAAAAACAAATTATAATTTTTATCTATTTTTATTTATCACTTATCATTTATCTACATCAACCTAACATGTTTTGTATAGATCTACCTATGACACAATATTTTTTTTATAAATACATATTACATAACCTTATCGACCATATCATATTTTGAAGTTATTTAAAAATGTGGTTCTTTGAAAATTAAATTCGGATTAAGGCATAAGTCATACCCTTCAAAACCATGCAATTGCCTACAGATTGTGAGGCACTCAATTATCATTATTCATGATGATCATTTTAATATAGTTATTATAATGATAATAAAATAACCTAACTGATTGATGTAAATCGTGATAAATTTTAATATCCTGTATGGACTATACGTAGTGAAACTATGAATTTAAATCGATCAATAAAAATGTGTATGACTTCAAACTAAACTTTTATTTTTATTTCCAATAAAAAGAAGTAAGTAAGTGTTCAACGCACAGCTGTACATTAGATATCGAGTGGATCACTTTTATGGTTGTGTTAATTTCAATTTAATGATATATCATGTGTATACAAAGAAAAATTCTAAGCGAAAACAGTTTGTCAAAGTGTCAGACTTATCACCAAGTATGTTTTATAATATATTTAAGTCATATTTTGATTTAAATATTACGGTAGATTGAAATAATTTGTACCTAAATATTGTATTTATTCTATTATTAATATTTGATGTGTATTTTTTCGTGTCAGGTACACTATAAACAACAATAAATACTAAAAAGTAACAATAGAATGCATACAATGAATAAATAGTTACGTAGGAAATATTTATAACATTGTAAAAACAAAAATTATATACACATTACAGTATGTAAGTATGTCCTGGTAATGTCATGGTCGATTCCTATAAAATCACACAGAAGAAACCTCTACGTAGTGCAACCCGAGGCAACTGTGTTATCTTAATCGATAATACAAGCTAATTCTTCAACTCCAGGCAAAAACAGAAAGAATAATATGTATTTATGCCTTAATATATTATATTATTAACTTATAAAACTCAAAATGTAATAACATATTTCTGTGAATACCGTAAAACTGTAAAAAGTATATTCATACTATAAATATATGTGTGTGTGTGTATATTACACGAGTACATAATATACATTTTATTCAATAATTATTTATTATTGTCGTTGTGTCTCGACACGTTTGGTGTAGACTCTAAGGAACTGTCACCGAAACTGTGCGTGGAATGTGCGTATGTATGGATGACCTATAGCTTTCGGTTCATTTACGTAGGTACCGTAGAGTCGTGGCCGTTCCGAGTTAATAATATTTTTAATAATTAAATACAAGGCTGCTGTTTACATTCGCGCGTCGTGTAGGTAATCATACCGTTGCAATCAATACTGTCGTCTGCTTTCATTAATTTTGTCTCTTCGTCAGTTTCGATATATCTACGTTGAATTACACTGTTGACGTATTTTAGTGTATTAAAGTTATTGCTCGTTGTAGTAAACAGTGCGCCTCATCGATAACATAATCCCAGCTCAGCCCTGAAAGGTCAAGTTGTTTTTATTCTCAAAATACCGATGATTGCTAATGAATACCAGTTTAAATTAAGAGGTGTCCAATTCCCTATAAAGCTTTGTTTTGCCAAGGTCGCAGGTCTTGACATCATGAATTCCTATTTTACTCGTAATACATTTTATGTTTTCTTGCTATCGTGTTAGTTTAGAACCTATATATATATATATATATACGCAACTAACCAAATAATAAGCAATATTACTTAAAAAGAAGTATTATAACCTTAACAGAAATATATACGAATATATTATATCCTAACACGAATACAAGCATTCATTTTCACAGGCGAAGTCGGTAAATTCAGCTAGTATTATTGTATTGCGGCAATAATTCATCGTATATGTATCAATATTGCATACACTAAGCGCCTTGTTATATTCAAAATTGTTAAGAAACAAACATGCTAAATTTAAATCTGTTTAATATTTATTTTTATAAATCTTCTCACCGTATGGATTTAACAACTTTAACCATCATAGTTATTAGAATTGTAGAAATCAAATTTGTTTCTAGAAACCACCCCTAAAATTAAAAAAAACGTTTTTACCTAATAAAAAATAACCCACATTGTAAATAAATTATATTATAAATTTCATAAGGAGTCCCAAGAAATATTTTGTGTAGTGTCTGATACCAAGAATCCATGGTATATATACACATGATGCCTACAGGTCAACATGTATAAGTTTTTGATTTCCTTAGTTCATTATGGCTCAAATTAGTTATGTCAAAAATCCTGATTTTCCAAAATCCAAAATTTAATAACTAAATAATTCAAACTTTTGCATATCTCATGTTTATAAAGGAAAGTTTTAAAAATTTATTGACAATTGATGCAGTCCATAGTAGTTAATATTATATTTCATATCACAGTATATATATCAAGTTTTTTTAATACAGATATAAGCGACACAACTAGTTCCAATTAAATGAACTATTCATACTTCATCAATATTTACTAACGTCCAACCTAGTTTAGTATCAACTTAAGTTTTAATATACCCTGATTAGATAGTTTTGAGTGCTTGCTTAATTTTGAACTGTTATTTTACAACATAGTTTATTAAATAATTAACAATTCTACTATGATGCTTAATATTAAAATTCACAAAATTATGTAATAAAAAGTTAATTTGTCTGGTAGAGTAATAATGAAAAATATTTAACATTAAATGTCATTCTTTACCTTTTAATATTTCAAGACATTTAACTCATTACATAAGTACAAAAACATCTTTGAAAGAAATGCAAAAAACCAACGATCTTAAATCATAATTATACATTTATTTGTATATTGTACATGCATAATATCCATTAAATTAAATGCCACGAATACATTAAATAATAAAGGTAAATTTAAATAAGTTATAAATATATATTAACACCAATAGTTATATAAAAGAAAAAAGAATAACAATGGGTACAAAAATAATTAAAATTTATTTATAGAATTATACTTATAATTGTAGAATACTACAAAGTTTAAATTACAAATATATCTTTAGGAATGCTTATTAATCAAATAAATTGAATTGTTCTAAATAAAATTACTCAATAACACGTCAATATTTTTCATTAGTCAATTAAAACTCATATACAAGAATACATACATAGAAAAATTAATTGTTATAAATTATAATAAAAATATAATTTATTGAATTGTACAAGATAACATCACCTATAAAATCTTGAATATGTCATTGAACAATTCAATTTAATAAATTAGAATTTCAAATTATATTACTGTTTTGTTGAATACACATATATTAAAATGTTACTTAACATTTTTATATTCCAAATTCAATAATTTTTTTTAAAATTTATTGTAACTTAAATTGTCAAAAAAACTAAATATCTGTAATAAAATTTTGGCTCAACATAAAAAAAATTATATGAAAATGTAATAAGTATATTATTAATTATAACTTATAAGCATTAAGTATATTAGCTTAACTCAAAGTATTTAATAAGATATTATTAAATAAGTGTTTTTAAATACTTCTTTTCCATATCATGTATTATATATACATAAATATTTAGTGAGAATATATAAGTAAATATTTAAACTGACTCACTCAACACAAAATAACAAAATAACTATATTTAGTCAGAAAATTTAAAGCTAAAAGGAATAATAATCTACATCTGTTTATTTTAAACAAACAATCAACAATTTTAATATTATTTTTATAAATTATCTTTAGACATGAAATGTTTAATCATCACCTGAAGCTCCAATAATGGCCAATATATACATAAAAATGTTTATAATATCTACATAGATGGTTAATGCTGCAAATATATACTCTTCTGGAGAAATTGAATACTTATGATCACCACCAACCATCATTTGGGTGTCATAAATAAGATATAAGGAAAATATGATTGCTCCTGCAGATGCAATTATGAGTGTCATCAATTTACCAGGGAAAAATATAGCAACAATAGATGCAACTAGTAAAACTATAACAGCTACTGTTAAAAAACCACCCATTACTGTAAAATCTATTTTAGTCTGAAATGCAAATACTGTGAGAGCAAAACATATCAAAGTAGTTAAGCCAAGAGCCAACAATACTTGTTCTGGATAGTAACGTGACACAGATACTGCTAATAAAAATGATTCAGCTAAGGTGAATACAAACAAAAGAATAAAGTTGGTAGGACTCTTGCGACGTAAATCTTCACAGCAAGCGAGTGCAATTAAAGTACCAAATGTAATGATAATTGCGATGAGACTAAGCCCTGGATGTAATTTAATATAATTTCTGGTTTCCGTATGAAAAGTTGCCATAGCCACAAATAATAATGTGATTAGTAGTTGACACATCAGAATACTGTAAACTTTACTGAAAGAATAAAAAAAAAATCTATTAATATCATACACCAACCATAATTTATCAATAATTTATATTTACCATATGAAGTTTTTGCGTATAGTTTTATCGCTAAAGCCAAAGTTTTCAGGTGCATTAAAGCTATTATTTTGAGAATTATCTGGTACTCCTGCTCCATAATAAGGCATATTTTGTTGTGCATATGGAGGAGGGTATCCGCCTCCAGAAGGATAACCCCCAGCAGTAGGATAACCCCCAGCAGTAGGATAACCACCATCAGTTTTTGGATATGGTGCACCTTGTGGATAAAACCCAGGTGGAGGTGGAGCTGAAAAATAACACGTAATTGTAAAATTAATATTTTCAGTAGAGTAATGAGCAGATGCTCAGAATCTAAAATGTTTTTTGAATTTTATCTATAGCAAAACCAATCAAAATTTTGTATGTAATTGAATTGTTTATTAATTAGAATACTAGAACAGCAACCTTAAATACAATAGGGGCCATAATATTAATGTATAGACAGGATATTCTCAAAAATGTACTCATATTCATCTAGTATTCCCAACATTAAAAGATAATGATGCAAGATTTATTTTGTATCGAAACACTTAACATTTAATGATAAACATTACAAGAGACCACAAAATGTAATTAACCTTAATAGTTAATTATAATTAGTTTTTTATATCTCCCTACTAAAATTTAGTGACCTTTACGTTGTGCACTAATCATGATTAATCTGATTTGTTTCCAATTTAAAAATGGTACTAATTAAATGAAATTAAAGAAATATGTAATAAATAATAATAATGCATATCATAAATATATAGTCTAATTTCTATATTTTACATATAAATCTTTTTATTATTACATACATATACTTTTTAATTTTTGGTCTTCTTACTTAATTAACTCATGCAGTCAATAGACTCTAATATATTGGTCACAATGTGATTTCATTAATTTACTTATAACTTTTGAAGTGATACTAACTTCGATTTTTTCAAATGTTTGCAAATATTATTTGAATGAGCGAATTCTGAGTTACACACTAGTTATAATAAAAATAATTATAATCATAATATCCAAGATGATGTCTTACTCAACACTAATTACAAAATTTTCATATTTACAGTTTGAGATCATGTTGAAAATTAATTCTAAAAGAAAATACAATAAAATTAATGTAAACATACCAGCTCCTGATCCGTATGGAGTTTGTGTCTGTTGCCACGTACTCATTGCAAATGTTGTTTATACTGGTTTAATTAATCTGAAAAATAAGTCATATCATTATTTAAATTTCAATTACCATAAAATACAAGTCTTAGGTATTAAAAAGATTCAAGAAAGGACAATTTTTAAGAGACTATTAATACTTAATTTTTTTTTATCTAGTAGAACAGATTAAAAGTTACTTGCTATTGAGAAAAAAAACCTTAACATGTTGACTACCATATAATCTCTGGCGATTATTTTATGAAAATATATGATATAATTTTTATGTCATATTAGTTGATTACCTACACACTATATAACCGGCTACCAATATGACGTATATTTTATTAAATGAATTGTGAATTTTGTGCTTAGTTTATTATTACATGTGTGTAAGCATGGTGCTGAGAGAAAAAAGTAAGTTTTGAATAGTCTATTTATTATCTTTAAATGACATTTTTTTACACATATGTAAAACAAACAGATATATAATAGCTTTCCATAGACATAGTTATACAAAAAATATCACCAATAATATTCTCGGGATGACGATAAAAATGATAGGCGGCCCACACATTAATGTGGTTATGTGACCATCGGCAGTCATATGGCAGTTAATGTGTTAAGGTAAGCTAATATCTTAACCTACCTCAAAAATAAAAGGTAAAAACCAGATTTTTTAATTAAAATATAACATTTAAATTCTTGAATTAAATTAAATAGTAGGTGCTGTAAAATCTTCAATTAGTATAATGCTAAAACTATTGGATGAATTAATTTTACTATAATATTATGAATTAAAATTATTGAACTACGATTGACTTTTCAAGATTATTCTATCACACACAAAAACATTACAAAACACTTCAAATTGTGACTGATACTAGATGATGATTCATTGGACTATTTTAGATAACAAAAAAAAAACAACAATTTTGTGAGTCATTAAATGCCAATCAAAATCAACTCAGCTTTTATACTTGGTCAAATGAAATGTATCACAACGCACCAAAGAGCTAATTTTGTTGATCTGAATAGTACGAAAAACAAAGTTAAAAAATTAGCTTTGGTTTGCATAAAAATAAGTTGCACAATAAGACGTAAAAAAGAAAATAAGTAGCAACCTTGAACTTCGACTAAGTATACGTGTTTGTTCAGATGAATGTAGCGCTATAAAATGAATTCACATGGGTCAAACAACATTGCAGTGCGTCATCATACAGAAGATACTTATCAGCGCGCAGTAATCGTGGTATTCTTTTTTAAGATTTTCGCATTTAATGTCATGTATAAAAGAGTAAACGGCGGATGAGACAAGTGATATGGGTAAATGGGCGTCACGTTAACAAGGGCCAAAACAATACCTAACCGTAATAAATATAACAAATATTAATATAACATATCTACGATAAGAGATTTTAAGTAAAAAAAAAAAAAACACGAGAAAAATCGCTTACCCGATGTCGTAAATCAGTACAAACCACAGTTATGTAACTAGACGTCCGGTTTTAAATGAATAATATTTCAGCACAGAAAACCGAGTACAAATAGTGTGTATTAAAACTTTCGACGATGACTGAGTACTGACGAATGGTGTAGTAATAGTACACTCAACACTGTGCAGTTGGCTTGCCTAGTGTCTATGCGCAATGAGATAACGAACGCGCAAGTGTGCAACGACTGCAACGGATGAACGACTGGATCAACGTGACAGTAGGTCTGTATGCAAGTCTTGGCAATCGTGGGTTAATCAATTATTATTGTTGATCGACTCGACAGTTTGTGATATCAAATCGCGAAACGCTCAAATACCCATAGAAGAATCTAGAATATTCATGGGAAAATACCACAGTAGTACGGTGAAATACGACGCGTTATCTTTCACGGCGACTGATAAGCTATAAGGGATAAAAAATTAAAAATGTCTTCCGGACTTCAATTGTCAATTATTACTACAAGGAAACCGTCGACTGAACGCAAATTCTTAAAAGTGAATACTAACAGTATGTGGTAGCAACTTTCATAAAATTGACTCAATTGAATACTGAAAACGAAAAGTGAAAAGGTAGTACCGGTAGTAGGTAGAAATGAAGAGTAGCACTTGACGCCTATACCGGTTAGTGGGTGATAAAAACGATAAAAATACTATTATGTAATACCTGCTAATTGAAATAGCTCAAATATCAATAGGGCACGAGCAATAAGGCATACACAGTCAAGAAGTGCAACTTGCAACACCTGCTGTTTTTGCTACAAACAGTAAAAACTATTATTATTAAACAATTCACTAGCGCTTCAGACTTTCAGAGTGTAGGTAAGATGGTTATGAATCATACGATAAATACCGTTCAAAGAGAATTACTTTATGGTATTGTCACGGGCACAGTGTGGCCAATAGCAATATAGTTATTGATAAAAAAATATTAAAAACAAGTATACAATATTTTCAATACATAAAAAAAATTAATGATATATTTTAATCAATTTAATACCGAGTATTATAGGTACTATTATACTTATTATAGTATTATGCAATATGCATGATTGAATTGAATATTTGTAAAATTAAAACTGTTTTTTTGTTAACGGGTTTACAAACTGAATTTAAAAGAACTCCTAAATTTTAATTTTAAATTATACATGGACGTAATTCAACTATCACAGTTATCCATTAAACATATTACATAATCTGAAATTCTGAAATAATTTTGGAATACGTCAATAATCGCAGAAATATTGCAATATCCAAACTCCTTACTTTGGACTCATATTCCGTAAATATACCGGAAGGAAATCCGGACAAGATATTATCAATGTTTTTGTACAGTTTTTCTTTAAGAACTACCCACAGCCAATCCATTTAACTTCTTATAATCTTATGCGCCGAGCACTTATACTGATTTTTTTAAGAATATCAACATTAATTTTCTTTCTCTTCCTTGGAATTTACCGAATTCGATAAAATAAAATTAACAATCTCCGCCTTGGTCCGGACAGACGTGGTATTTTTCTTTATCATTGCAGATTTATTTTAACATATTTTACCTTTTCCTACTATACATAGGCGCAAATAGTGTTTGATGTTTGGGAAGGGGGCTGAAGTCAAAATCCATCCCAAAAACCTTAAAATTATTATACATAACAATATTGACTGACAGACGATAGTCATTAATATTTGGGGAGCTATACAGAATTTAGAGGGATTAGCCCCCCTAGCCCCTCACCATTTGCGACTATGCTACTATAAGTAGTTTTTTACTTATATTTTAATTAATTACTCTAAGGCAGGGCTCTCTAAATTACGGTCCGCGAGCCGGATGCGGCCCCCGAATAAGTTTTCACCGGCCCACCAAATAACGAAAAATATTTTAAAAATATATATACCTAGTTTTCATAGTCGTTATCGCGCGCACGAGCAATTATCAGCTGTATTAACTGTAATTTATAAATTATATATGAAAATTAAATGTATTCATACATTTTGGCCCGCTAAGAGCTTTTTTATTTTATGTGGCCCTCGGATAAAAAAAGTTTGGAGACCTCTGCTCTAAGGAGTCTTAGGCTCTCAAGTGATACATAATAACCGACAAATGAAAGATATCCTTTGAATTTTCTAAAAAAAGAAGATTTATCATTCATCATCTTTACTTACTAATTTAAAAATTAGGTATCGATCAATCTAAAATGTATAAGACATACGTCTTCTAAAACAAATAATCATTGTTTAACATTTTTAACTTGTCATTATAATGGTTTTATAATTTTACGATTAAATTGTTAACTTGTTCTAATTCAGCTCTTGTCAGACTAGGATTACTTCGATCGTTTATAAATCCAATATACAGATAGATGTAATTTACATAGACTTATCTTAAACTTTTGACAGCGTAAACCACGAAATCTTGTTAGTTACAGTTTTTCGAATTTTTTAACTCTATAATTTCCTGTTTTTTTTTCTTTCCAATCTGTATCGTTTTATTTCATATAAATTAAGCATTTGAATTTTAAGTCCATCAGTTTTAACATGACAACTGATGTCTCATAATAGGTGATCCATTTGTCAACTTCTTTTTAATATCTTTTTAATACTTATGATAATGTATTAAAAACTTTACTAATAAATAATAATTCAAAATACTTCATTAAGATTAATTGTTTTTGTTCAAAATTTATATGAAAACACTGTCGATCTATATAACAGTGAAGAGCTTATATATATTAACAGTTTAAAAAATGTAAAAAAAAATCACAGTAAATTAAAAAAGCATAAGTCACTTAACCACTCCAAAGATAATATAAACAAAAAATGTTAAAAAATATTTTATATATCAGAAAAACGACTAGGTATTGGAATGTAATTCGTAACTATAGGAACTAGAATTGCAAACATACTACCAGAAGCTTTTTTATTAAAAATTCAAATTATAATAACTTTAATAATAGTATGACACATTGGTCACATTGGCTAATAACCGATTTCATAGCTTTTCAGTAATGTAATTTAAATATAATAATAATACCTTATAGTTAAGCTTGAGTAATTACCTCATTAATATTTAAGTTAATTTATTTTTTATGATTTACACAGTTAAAAGTACATTTATTACTATAGTTATTTTAGTTTTTCTAGATTGTAGTGATTGTACTAACTTGTGTTATCTAATTCATATTGTATTATATGCTATTGATTAGGCCAGTGTTTATTAAGCTTTTTTATCTATGGAACCCTTTTCAATGTTTACTTTTATTTATTTTTTTAGGCTATTTAGCTTTTTTTAGAATTATTTGCAATAAAAATTATAATTATTTCGTATAATAACATTGTGTTAAAGGCATTTAATTCAAAAAATATGTTAAAGTAAAAATAAAAATTATAATAATAATTGCATACAATACTTAAATTACTTTAATTAGACTACATTTTAATTTTAATAAGATAAGTGAAATTGCTTTTTATCAACACAAATATTTTTAATATTGGGATTTATTGATGAAAGTTGTACAAATATTTTTTTTCTCTACTAACCACTAATAATTTTTAGTTAGATATTTTAAAGTAATTTTCTTGAAAATTTTGAAAAAATTACTTAAGCTCCACAGAATATAGTTTAAAAAACGTTGGATTAGACTCTCTAGGCCCTCACAGCTCACATCACTCACACTATAATAAATTGTGGTTTGAATGGGGCCCAGTGTTTTTTTTTTTTGAGAAATAAGTAAATAATAATGAATAATAATATATTTTGTGTTCATTATGTTTATAAGTTTCTTGAAATATAGTTGTTATGATAATTTTTGTAACTTAGGAAAATAATCTTGATTTATAGATATTTAAACATTAACTATTACATAAATTGTTTATTTGATTATATTTATTACATTTTACAGTTTAAGACTGAATTAAAATAAACTAAACATTAAATTTAACAAAAGCATAATATGTATTTACTTCTAATTCAATAATAACATTTGCAGTTAATTTAGTTTTCAACAACTTACAACTCAAATACTAAACAAATAATTAAGAATTTAAAATAATCTAAGGTTTAAAACTACTTTCTCTTTCAATCCAATCTTTTTTCAATGTTTCTAATTTTTTTCTTTTCCATTCTTTTTGTGCATTCTTTTTTTCCACAATGGCTTTTTTTTGTGCTTCGACTGATTCATTACCATTTTGTATTACATCTAATTTTATGGCTAGTTTATCTCTAGCCATTTTTCTGTTATCTTCAACACATCTTGATTCATGACATTTAATTACAATGCCAGTTGGTTTATGTTTTAGTACAACACAATTAGCATTCTTATTGACTGCTGATCCACCAGGACCACTACCTTTAACAAACATTTCTTCAAGTTCATTTTCATTTATAATAGGCACTTTTGAACGATCTATAGTTTGTTTCTTATTGAATAATGTTAAACTAATGCTTCTAGCATTGTTTACACTTACAGTGTTAAACGGTAGTGCCTTACACAATAATGAATACATGAATATAATGGAAAAGTACACACTTTATACTATTGACTTTCTTTTTAATAACTCTTGTCCTTTCTGAAACAAACAAATATTAAAAAATGGTTAATAAAACAGTTTTATTAAAGTTACTGCGTTATTAGAAATATACATGAAACATGACAAAATTATTAAATCTATAAATAGTAAATGCTTAAGCAATGTGTAATCGTTAGTCCTTTTAAATCACAAAGCAAATTTGTTTTACTTAATTAGAGGCCGAATTTGTATGCATTTATATATGTTAAGCGAGCACAACATTTATTTTATGGCATAGAGGTTGTAAATATGAAAATTTTTCTGCACTTAAATAGTAAAATAGGCTATTAATTTTAATATTTTAATTGTATTTTATTTAGTGTAAATATAGTTGTTCTTAAAAATTTTGAAAAACTACAAAAATAATTTTTATTTAAAATTTGGTTTTATATTTTCGATTAATAATGATTTAGATTTTAAACCATTGATATTATTAATATAATAAATATTTATAATTATGATTTATAAATAAATGAATAATTATATTTATTATTTATTATATTTTTAGGAATGTTGAGTATTTATATATATAGTTTTTACTGTGAATACATGAACTTTTAGTATATATAAATGTAAGAATGTATATTGAACAGTACTGAGAAATAATGACATTAAAATAAAATATAGGTATTAAAAATTATGACTATTTTAATTATAAACATATTTTGGACTTACATCATAGAAAAATTTAATTTCTTCTGGTTTAACTAATTGTTTATTATCTAAAAATTCCTGTTTGATTCGAATTTTATAATAATGTTTGTCAGTAAGTTTTAAATTACTACCATACTTCAAAAGCTCTTTGTATAATTGCTTTACTTGTAAATGAGTAATAGTCATTTCTAAAAAAAAAAAAAAATAATATAAATACCTAATTAAAATAATAACAAAAACAATAATCTATATAAATTAATGAACTATAATTAGGTACATATAATATTAATGTATAAGTTTATACTATTTTCATTACTAAATGGACGTGAGCAACAATTTTCAATAAAATACTTAAGATGAGTGTTATTGTATAACTCCAACAATAAACGTACCTGTATAAGGAATAAGGATACTAATTCTCAACGAATTTTAAAACATTTGTATACTGATAGGCACTTAAACATAACTAATAGGTATTTAGTTAATATTAAATGACTTTAGTAGTTCAATTTATAATATTTCAAGTACGAAAGTATGAAATTAAAAAATAAACACAATTTTACTGAATAAGCCGGGTGTAGACCACAGTCCATAAATATTTTTATTCTGTAGTGATATGCGAGTAGTGATACCGAGTCGTTACCATTAACTATATGATAACTGGAACGCTTACCACGCAGTGTTACCCGAGCGAGCATGTTAAAAAGAGATAGTGAATACTTTAGGTATTTCTACCCTTGTTTAACTTACCGCGTAAATGTATAATTTTATTTTATATTTCTATATACCTAGTAATTACTAATTGTACTTAATATTTATGCAGCTTAAATCATAATTATTGAATTACGTGATGTTTATTTATAATATAAATATTCTATATGCATATATACTTTTATTAATAAATTAACTAATTTTCCACTTACAGCAGCTTTATTATAATCATTTTCAGTAAAATGTAAACTGCATAAAAATGAATTTTGGTTAGGCTTGAAATTTGTCCGTTTAACAGCATGTATCCATTTTTTTAGCCTTTCATTGTCATTTAGTGGAAATCTTAGGCGATAAAAATATAAAGTAAGATTATTTATATAAGTACCCAGTGGCGCCCACAGGTTTTCCAAGAACCAGTGCAGTTTTAATTATAGGGCCCCAAAATTAATTTATTTTAATTTAAGTCATATGTTACCTTAGAAAATTAAAACTCTGATGAGCAAAAAACAAAAAGGTCATAAAAAAATATATATGGTATTACATGGTATGTATTTTACGCGATTAAAATTTAAGGTAGATATAAGTTATTAAAGTAAATTTATAAAAAGGCTGTATACATTTCTTTAGACGGTTATATTATTTTTATTGTGTTAAAATTTGTTTCAGGGTAGTTTACATAGGAAGAACAACAAATAAAAATATATGAAATAGCAAACATAAATAATATTATACTCTTTTATTTAAAATAAATATGTAAAAAAATCTCAAAATAAAATATATTCATTCAAACAAAAATACATATATTATACGCAATTAAATTATTATAATTATCATTAGTTATATTATATTTTTAGGTAAATCTTGAATATATTTTTGATTTTAATTCTTTAATAGAAGGGAGAGGTGTTTGATAATTATTTTTTGGGATGTCGGTATTAAATATTCACAAGTTCAAAACAACAAACACATTCACGGTCATTAATTTGCTTTTCACATTTTCCACATAAGCACCAATCTGATACAGTTTACAGTTTAATGGTATGTTCGTACAATCTATATTAGCAATACTCTCGACCATAACAATAATACTGAAAAAACATTAATAGGAGAAAAAGTTGTATTTTCTAAGCCACTAGAACGATTTACAATAAGACTCAAAATAAGTGGAAACGTGATATAATGTCAAAATTTATCGAAGAAGCTGAAAAAGATGTTTCATCACAGCCGTTTGATGTACAAAAAGATTGTTATACCGACATCTCAAAAAATATTTATGGAACACCTCGCCCTATTATTGTCGGCAATTTTAATACGATCCAATGTTGTAAAGCATATTTTTTTTGATAGGGAGATGACTGAATGGCAAGTATCTAGTTTCTTTTCTTTTTTTCGGCTTTCTTTGTGGCCCCAGATTTATAAGTACGCTTATGATTCATAATTAATATAAATTGATCATGTATAATAACAAAATGTATTAACACATTAATTCGGTAACGAGACAACGAGTACCTAAACACACAAAATGTCGGGTTTTTGCCAGTGCACGATTAGGAATTTGCCAGTATCGGCTATCGGATCTCTGCATATCAATATAACACTGATCGATAATCAGAGCCCAACTTAGGAATTTTGAGGCCCGGGTCTATTTTTTTGACGGGGCACCAAAATTAATTATTATCTAAACTCTAAATTATTAACTAAAATTATAAATGCAGTCTTTTTCAATATGCATGTTTTATATTCAATTTATTTTATAAGATCATAAATAAATTATACCATAAGTTTATAAGTAATTATTTAATGATAATTAAATATTAATAGGGGCCCGGGGCTGAAGTCCCCTACCCCCCTTAAGTTGGGCTCTGTCGATAATATTTCTAAAAATAACAAGGATTTAACTACGATGCAATGTCGCATGCATGTGTTTTGTGTATATTATATTATTATGTGTACTGCACAGCTGCACTATGGCACCGATAACAGTTAATAATTATTATGATTATTGAATTATAAATATACAGATTTCAGTTTTCAGTAATAATTAGTGTATAGTGTATAGTTGTTGGTACCCTATGTTATCATATAGTTCAATGGTCGTAACTTCGCGACCATTGATAAAAAATATATTATGAGTTGTTAGAGAAACAAAGTCAATATTAACAAATTTTAATGAGATAAAAAAATACACTCTCATGGAGTAAACGGCATAAAATAATTCATTATTTCATTATTTAAAAAAATTTGAATTAAAAGCACAGATCATTTATAACTATTTATGTAATCTGTTGTATGTGATATAAATAATAAATATCAACTTGGTGTTCTGTGTATTTTGAATTTTTGATGAACAACTGTGTAGTGTGTATTGTGAATCAAAACCGGACTGCGGTCAAAATGTTACCAGGATTTGAATTTAAAGTGGCTACATTAGAAAAAAACATATAAATAATACAACTTTTTCGATGCACCTATATGAAAAAAAAACCTATACAAAATTATATACAATTATAAAAACGTTAATACAAGTATAATACATTTTAACTATAAGTAATTTATTCAATATTAAAACAAATTTAAAAGTTTAATTAAAATAAAAGTTTTTTCTTTAAATTTTCATTAATTTGAGCCAAAATATTTATATTATCTTCATTATTAAGCTCAACTATAACATCTTTTTCGCATGCCATAAGCATAAATGCTTCTAAATTGGTTGACCTAAAGAATTACTTAAACGGTTTAAAATATATTTTAAAATAGAAAAATTTCTCACACAAGTTACTTGCGAAGAAGACAGACTTATTATACACTTATAGGCCAAGTATAATTTGTCATATGATTTTGAATATAAGTTGTAAGTATAATATAAGGTATTTAATACACAAATTAAATAGCTCTTACAATTACACATACATTTCGAAGCCTTTTGTTTTTCATTTGTAAATTTAAACTTATGAGGTATTAATATATTATTAACATTTTACTTTGTATTACATTTATTAATATATTATTAAGAATATTTTAAATTACAGTTTACCTCACCTAATAGTTGTATGGTCAAACTTAATTAAATATTTTGATAAACATTCTAATGGATCATTTGTTAAATGTTGAATTTCTTCAAATCTATATGGGTGTAAACATGTTAAATCAACTATTAATTTTGACGAAAAGTTAAAACGTATTTCAAAACAAAGATTTCAAATTTTATATTCGCTCATTCAATACATTTTTCAGTTAGGTACTTTGAAAATACTTTGACTATCACATGTAATCTTTTTTAGTTCTTCAATAGTGTGTAAAACCAAAGATGTGCTTGTACAACGTCCATTATGTTAGTATGGACATACTTAGACAATGAGGTAGTAAATTTAAATAAACTCGAATAGGTACATCTTTCCTTTTAAATGTGGCGGGTAGACTCTTATCGTCTATCGATAGTTATTTTTTTGCCGTTCATTATTGACAGGAATACATCACCTCCCCCCCCCAATAAGTGTACGGCTAACACCGGTTCAACCCCGCAACGAAGTCGGACAGTAAACTCGACGCATCTTTTTACGTTTACAATTGGAACGCTGCCCAAACCAGTGACTGGTGACGTCCGCCGTATACACTAAATCCCTAAACGGTCAACACTTGCCGTCGTTATGAAACTAGTTTATGACGCCGAATCAATTAATGCACGCGTCGTTTGCCATGACTTCGCGCTAAGTTAGGTAACATGTACACGTGTACAATAGAGGTAACGTTAGGGTTAAATTGATGTAGCGTGGCGAACCCGCATGAAGACATATCTGACCGCTGAGCGTCTTCTCTATTGCGTTGATCATCAGGTTGAATATGCAAGAGGTGGTGGTGCTTGCTACCATCACCACTTATATTGATGAAATGATGACAATTGACACTGGGTTTTGGATTTACAATGATTAGCTCAGTGATCGGCGCTAAAGCACGCCATGAGTAATTATACAAATTACTTACGTAATATTATATAATGACGTCGATAATGCAGAGAACATTACATTGTTATTTTTTTAAACAAAACCATTATAGTCATACTACTAAAAAAATATAATTTGCTACTTATTTTAATGAACTATTTAAAAATGCAGTTGGAATAATATTATAATAGTGAAATATACCTATTCCATAGAATTCGTGCTGTTTTTGGGGGGAAAATAGGTATTAAATTTTAGCAATAAAATTTATGAACTTGAGAATATTTTAAACAAATTATTAATATATTATATGTTATTTATATTAATTAAGTAGTACATTTATTTTAAAACTAATTTATATTTATTACTAATTATAAATGTCACCAGTCATTAGCAGTATTAGCACTGTTAGAATTATATGTATTAATGTATTTATCTTGGTGATTTCATCTTTTATATTTCATTATATTATGCTAATAAAGTTTTTTTTGTATTATACTGAAGAATTATACTATTATATATATATTTTTAAATTAATTCATTAAAAAATAAAACACCTCTGTGCATCAATTTAGATGATAATGTAATTAAATTAATGAAATGGTCAATAGATATAGTTAACTAATGCTTTTTTAAGGATCAATAAAAATTAATGAAAGTAGGTATTAGGTAGTAATTATTAAACTACGGTCAACTGTTGACCAATATGAGTTGGTAATTTACTGTAAAATATTAATATCATTATGGCATTATCTTTAATAACTACAGCTGTTATAGCATTTAATATTATTATCAATGCTAAGATTAAATTAACACATTTCTGCGGAAATTCTGTTGGTTTTAGAACACGCTACTTTTCATTTCACAGTTGTAACTAAAATACGTTTTAAAAACGATTTAATTTGTAATATAGGTGCTAATTAACTAGAAACATAATATGCGTCAATGCCGTAATGAT